GGTGGTGGGTTTTTTTGTGTGTGTGTGTTTGTTTTTCTATTGAAGTTAAAAATAAATTTACTGAAAAGTTTATTTTCAATCTTGCATGAAGTTAAAGTATATTCTCAGAATTTAACTATCACTGACTAGGTTAAATATCTGTCACTAGTTACTTAAATAGAAGCTGGTTTTATACTTTTTTTTTATAGTGATGCTTTTCTTTTAATCACATTTTATTTTGCTACATGTCAAAATTACTCTGATCTGATTTGCCCAGAGAAGCTGTGGCTGCCCCATCCCTGGAAGTGTTCAAGGCCAGGCTGGATAGAGCTGTGAGGAGCCTGGTCTAGTGGGAAGTGTCCCTGCCCGTGGCAGAGGGGTTGGAACTTGATGATCTTTAAAGTCCCTTCCAACTCTAACCATTCTATGATTCTATGATTTGTTATTACTTTCCTTAAAAGCACAGTTATTGGAAGAGAAGATAAACTGTTCTGGTATGAAGTCACATTTTCTGTTGAAGCTGAACCATGACACCTAAATATGTAAGATTTATTGGGCTAGAAATACAGTATCAGAAAGAAGCTTAACACTAGTTCTGTTAAAATAAACCTGTAGGAATGAAGTACTGTGGGAAAGTTGAATTCCTAGCCATGTTCTGTTTGTAGCAGCTGTTCAATACGAAGGTACTCTCTGCAGTAAATATCAGAGTAAAGGTCTTTCCCATGCTGATGAATGCTTCAGTGGTTAGTTACAGGTGGCCTTCTCTCTGTACTTGCTTGTCATTACTTTTCTCTGACCTGAGGAACTTAGTCACACAATGTGATGATTCAGAAGACCAGCCTAACATATAGCTCAGGGTGTAGAAGCATTTCTCAAAGGCTGGGAGGTAAGAGTTTAAATGCTTTTTAGGTTCAGAAGTGTGATTAGCTAACACTTCTTTTTAGACTACTGAGTGCGCACTTGCTAAATTATACTGAAGCTCCACAACTGCTCCATAGCAATTTTGAAAGAAATGTACGAGCCAAAAAGTTGATTTAAGAACTGTGCTGAAGAGCATAAATTACTAGAATACCTGGGTTTCACAAATATTGGATTTGTCTTCAAAAAAACACAGTGAAATATTATCACACCTATTTTACAGAGAGGAATTGGGACATAGAGATTAAGCCAAAAATAAATGCTCTTCTCCAAATTAAACTAAAAACCTGGAATGGAAAATTAATTTTTATTGGATAAGTTTGGCAAAGTTCTGTAAACCACTAGATTATGATGGAAAATTTTCAGCTTCACTATCTCTCTCTGTGATATGTTCTCTTGGTTAAAACATGGAGCCATGTTTCTTCTTCAGAAATTACTAGAACACATTTTAGATCTGTGATTCAGAGCATTTTGTTCTTTTGACTCTCACTGTCCTTAATTTTGCATCTTCTTTGTGCCTTCTTCCATGAGGGAGGAGAATAGGCTTGAAGAGGAAAAGAAAAGTGCCAGTTAGGCAATATGGGGTCAGGAAGAGAACAGATGGTGAGAGACAGAAAGCATAGTCTTGTCTGCTCCCTATACCTCTCTACAAAAGATTAGTCTTAGTATATGCAGAGGAGCCAATGCAGGCATTCCAAAAACTTGCAATCGCAGAGTAATTATCTTGTGAAGGGAAAAAATTGTTTGCAATAGGAATTTTGTAAATCTCTTTACTAGCTTAGTACAACCTGACTGCAGTCTCTACACCTCATCCTTGCCAGAGTAAAAAGATCATTGCTAGCACTCCTTGGTTTTGGAACCAAGTCCTTTTGGAAGTCTGGACAGTAGGGCCACGTGATATATAGTTTGACAAACTTGTCTATGACAAGAGCACAATGTTACAGGTACTGAGATAACACATAGGTGTCAGCATCTGATAATTTTTATACCAGTTGAGTCATGGTATAGTATCATCGGAGTGAAGAATGGAGAGCCAGTATCAAAGGAGAAGAACAGACAGATGTAGCCCTATAAAATAAGGGAAATTTTGAAATGTTCTATCATATTAAACTCTAAAACTTTCTCTGTTCAAGCCTAATTACTTGGCAATACTATAATCTGTTTAGGATGTAAAGTAAATAACCAACACTATCTCTTAATGTTTTTATGTCAATAAGAGGGATCGTATGACTAACTGGAGGTATTTACAAACAGCAATTGTTTCTGTATGGAAACAGCAAGTACTTGAGTAGTCCTGTGTACAGACTGAATTTACTAATATATGGTCTTGTACTTTCCATCAGAGAAAATAATTTCATGTCTACAGACACAACAGAATGATTTCTTCTGTTTCATTGTATCATTTTTGTCTTGTTTGGGTTCCCCTTACCTATCTGTTCACCTGGAACTGATCATGTCCCAAGTGGGATAAGTCACAGTAGCTGTGTTATGACCTATGTTTCTGTCTGTTTTCATATACTTCATTTATGCCAGTAGGTGGTTTTAATTCCATCACTTGGACTAAATCCAAGATATGTGAAGTATATAAACTGGATGAAATTAAGTAGATTCACAATGGGTGTCTTGCTTTGCCTCTCAGTGGATATGGTCGTGAGAGGAATATTTGACACTGAGGACTACCCAATGTTTCTTCAGTCCTGGTTTGGACTAGAGAATCTTTGGAGCTGGCTGATAACATTTTTTTTCTGAGTGAGGCATTAAGTGTTTTTCAGGACCTGCATTGGTCCATGAATCTTCTCATAAATTGGGAAGACTGTCAGTTGAGTCCAGAACATTTTGGGAAGTGTTTTGTAGCAGTTTGCTGTCTTCTAGGGAGAGCTCAGCTGCTTTGGGTCTGAATCATTAAAACTCAATTTTGAGTACTATCAACAAAAAACTTTCAACAATTCACAGAGTAATACATTGTTGTAATGGTGCCGGTGCACAGTTTGGTTTAGTTTATGTTAGGCTGTGCTCTGTGTTCCACATTCATAGTCTGAATTGCAGAGATTTAGTAAAGGCAATGGAATATTTTAATTTTTTATTGAAACTGTGAAGTTTGGATTATCATCTTTGGCTATTTTTTGCATGCTTTGCAATTTATTCTTTCTTTTGAGATACATATTTTCTTTATAATTTACCAAATAAGTCTGCATATTTTCTACATATGTTATGTGTCTTCTCTGTTATTTCTTGTATGCATAGTGTCTGATTGTATCGTGCAAATGACTGTTATTTTCACTAGATAAGGCATAGTCTAAAACAATCCTGTTTACAGCACATGACTCTCACAAGTGTTTCATATGTGAAGGATTTGTTTTCAAACATTTTCTGCTTTGTTTATTTAAGATAATTACAATTTCATATCACAATCAAACTGTTTTAATAGTATCAGTGTGTCTATGACTTTCACCGAATATTGGATTGGTTTCTTAATGCATTTTTGCATTGGACCTGTTTCATTATTTGAGGCTGCATTAATAAGAATGTAATTATTTTGTTTCTAAATTTAATTTACTCCTTGGAAAGCGCCTTTCCTTTTTTCATTTGAGAAAAAAAGGCAGGCAGTTTGCTTTTTCTCATTGATGATACCTGCATGACTTGTAATATTATTGATTTGTTATTGAATTCTATGCTGTTCAATTAAAAACTGCAAAGACCTATGTAGAAACCTAAAAATTTTATTTAATATAGCAAAAACATAAAAGTTTTCAATTTTAGAAACCAAGGTTTTAGATTCTATATATTTCTACTTAAAATAAAAGAGTTACTTTCTGAAATAAAAATGTTTTTTAAGAAGATTCAGTTTCTTACCTGCCTATTTGAAATACATCCAATGTTTAGTTATTTAAGGGGAAAAGATTGCATTACTTTTTCTAAATATTTTTTTTTTTCTATTTCAGCTAACTTAAGCATTTGCTAAATTATCCTGAATGATAGAAATCAACTGTAAGATGTTGATGACTAATATATCTGTTTAGCTACTATGGAATTTTTCTAACTTTTCTCTAGGCTGAATCTTTAGTCCTCCTACACTATAACTTAGTGCTTCTAGAATGTGATATATTTCTTTAAAGTGAAAATATAATTTGATTATTTTTTAGGCTTACATATATGAAAGGCATTCAAGCACTTTTTCACATAAACTAGGAGGACACACAGAATCTGTCATCAATGTGGCTTTTAGTCCCTCATCTCCACAGGTGAGTCATTGCTTTTTTTACCTCTTAGTACTTAAAATATGTAAACTCTTCACTGTAAACTTGCTTTTCACTGCTGTTCTGTTTACCTGCCAACATGCCGTTCAGCTGTAAGGCTGTTCATCTACTTCCAGTTATAGCGTGGTTGTTGTGTCAACTATAAACTCATGCAAAATGCTGCATGCTACAGAGACAAATGCTCTGTAACTGTCTACAAAGAAGAGTTCAGCCATGAGAACTATTGTGAAACTGTACTTGTTGAATGTTGAAAAAATGTAAATCCTTCCTCAAATTCCTCAAATGTCTCCTCCTGAGTCATCTACTACTAATTTAGAGAATTTAAGAGAAATAAGTAAGGTCACAGGCCTGCCATAATTACTCAAATACCTAAAAGATTTAAAAAGCAATGTTAATTTAAATGTGCTGTGGCAGAATAAATAGTGAAATAGCTTTTGGACACTGTTTTGAAAAACTATTACTGTTGTGTTTTGAGCCTTTCAGATATCTATAGATGAAAAGCACTGCAAAGGAGTTAAAGGCATTAGGCAATGACAGTTCCTATTTTTTTACTGATCGTCAATATTATGCTGTGTTAATGGCATTATATTTCAAAACAAACAAAAAAATCCCCAACCAACCAACCCTGGGCTTTCCAATATAGTATTAAGCATGAAGTCACATTCAAAGACACTAGAAGAAGACGCTAGGAGGAGAAGCTAAGAAGTGCAATGGTGATCTTGTAGAGTGGAAAAGAAAAACACACAAATGAATCAGAAAATAATAATCCCATGGCTTGAAAGAAAGACTTTCTATTAGGCAGCCAGGGTTTCCAACACTGGAAGATTTTGGTACCTACTGCTACCACTAGTTAGGGATTTAAGACTGACACTATTCCTGTTTCATCCAAAGTTTGAATTAATACAGTTAAGAATTATACTGGGTTCTAAATAACTTCTGCACAAAGCCCCATTGCATTCAAAGGGAAAGACTGGCAGGGGAAGCAGTAAGGGGTGAAAAAAAGGAAGTGGCTGATGAGTGGAATTTGAACCTTATGGCTAAGCTTTCAGCTGTGGAAAGATCCAGCCAAGAGTGAGGTGTACTGGCAGCACTCCAGTTTGGTGGTCGCTTGCCCAGCACCTGTCCATGAGGTAGTTTCTTCCAACCATTATTATAACTCTCACTTGCATAAATGTTCTTCCAGAAAAGAGGGAAAACCCTGGATGGGTATAATAGTGATTTTTTTTTACTGATGGGGGGCATTGTTGCTTTCATCATATGGTATTCTGGAATGATTTATAAAATGGTTGCTATAAAAGCTAGAGAAGGGGAATAAGACAAAAGCTTTGCATTTATCTTAGGTTTATTCTTGAGATGATTTCTCAGTTTCAGCTACTCCTTGTAACTTCCTGTTTTTCTCTTGTTCAAAACTTATGTAGGGAAAAGTGCTAATCTTACAAAAATATTGATTGAATTTCTATCTATTTTAGGGAATATACATTAAGGGACATTTTTGTGTTTAACTATTATAACTATTAACTACAACACATTTGAGTCAATCTCAGTTAAAATACAGTAGGGGTCTTATCTTCCAAATATGGGGACAATAAATGATCTCTCTGTGAAATGTTTTTGAAGTAGGGTAAAAGCAAATGGTAACACAATTGTTGTCTGCTGTGTTTTTTTGGTGACTTTTGGATAGTTGAGTGTTGGTTTCACCTTTGTACAAGCTGGGTGAACACTGTGTGCAAAACCATCCAAGTACACCCTAGCATATTGTCCTCATTGGTAGTTGCTTATAAAAAAAAAAAAAAAAAAAAAAAAAAAAAATTCCCTTCTTCACAAAAATGTCATAGAAAATAAAAGGAAACTCATTTCTCTGGGGAAGAAGGCGCTGCAAGAGGTTTTAGTGAAACAAAAAGAGAGAGAAAAAAAATGCTGAAAATGCTGCTTTCTATTGAAGGAGAATATGGAGGTTGTGCACGGTCCAGGCAGCACTCCAGCAGGGGGCATTTTATTTAATTAAAAAAAAAAAAAAAAAAAAAAAAAAGAGAGAAGAAAAGAATGTCCAAGCTCTGAGTTAATATACTGTACTGGAAATTATCTTTTCATGACAGAATCATGACCTTGAAATCAGTACGCATCGCTAACAGCCCACTGATATACTGAGAGGTAGATTAAAGAGAGAAAAACCAAACACCCTGAACCACACTTTAATAGAATGAGCCCTGAGCAACCTGATCTACATTCAGGATTGATGTTATTTTTAGTAGAAGGTTGGATGAGATAATTTCCTGAAGTCCTCAGAAGACTACTTGTCTGAAATATACACATATAAAAACACATGCTCAGTAAGCCAATGTAGGTCATTTGATGAAAAAGAATCAAAAATATAATTTAAATTGGGTGAAATTGGTGCATCTGTTCCGTTCTCTTTGTCTATAGATTTAAAGGATGTAAATATAGGAGACATTGACGTGAGCACCTACTTGATATATTGAGAGATATCTTCAAGAGCTAAAAAACACAAACCAAACCTAGACTATAATGGAAGAAGTCCTCAGCCACCTGGTCTGAGTTCATTGTTCACCTTACTTGCAGTTAAGTTTGAATAAGATTTCCTGAAGTCCCTGCTAATTGAATTATTCTCTGATTTTGTGATAGTACACATTCTCCAGAAATCTCCTGTCACTGAAGGCACAGCGGTTAAAAAATTGTCATGTAGTAAGCATTAACATCTTTTAATTACCACATAAATTGAACTTGTGGCCTGTTTATCAGTAAAATATCTAATTTACATGTGTGGAAGGTATTAATTAAAATTGTTACTTAATATAATATATATTTTTTCATTAATTTATAAGTCTGGTTTTATGTTTAGAAGTACAGCTATATTTCAAATAACATTAGTTTCAGGTATTATTGTATTGTGGCACATCTAGGTCAGATAATAACTGACCATAAGTGCATTACTTGGCAGCTGGAGAAAGTTAAATGAATAGTAGAGATCTGGAAATCTCTTTCACAGTAGATTTGCATGGGAGCCACTGAAAATTTCATATTGATTTTCTGCTGACCTGTTTGAAGGGAACCATGTTTAATGTTACCAGTAAGGATGTTTGCTTGTATGTATCTCAGATAGTAATACATTTTAGCACTAAAACCACCACTTTAGTCAGAATTGGCTACAGGTGGTTTTGGATGTGTCTGGAAATATGAGTTATCATGTTTTACTAGCTACTAAAAAAATATACTTTTCCTGGTGTTCACATCTGGAGATTTCACTTTAGAATAATTTGTATGAAAACTCCATTCTTTTGTGATTTTGGTTCACCATTGACGGTTCACTTCATCATAAAATTTTCCACAATGGAGGTAACTTTTGTATTGATGTGGAAAATTCTTTTCAGACTTGAAAGACCAAATTTGCTTTTTCAGACTTCAGACTAAATTGGCCAAGTTTTGGCTTTACTGTTGAATTAGTCTTTTGTCATTCCTATATAGAGCACATTTTTTCCAGTATGATGTTCTTCCTTAGGACTACTTTGTCATAGACTAACTCATGTGGATTTAAAACCTATGACCAACTTGACCTCTAATATGATCTCACTGAACTCGGGAAAGCTCTTTCACATGATTCTTTTGACCCTAATCTTTGGCCCAATTACTCCCTCTCATAATCCACAAATACATCAAAATGAGACGCAAATGGAATTTGGTTTTTTTCTTTCTCCTGTAATTTTATCTCTGAGAGGAATAAGGAGACAGCTGTCAGCTTTTCTTACCTTCTATTCCAGCAGATCAAATTCAAAGGCAAAAGAATGACAACAAATTATAAAAATTCTAGTTTTTCTTTTGCTTTTCTGAAATGTATTTTGAAGTTCTGAATTCTGCTGAAAGACTAAAGTAACTTTCAAAAATCAGGTTTTAAAAAGTTTTCTATGGACATTTGTTGAAAAATTATTTGGTATACTCCTTTGTCTTATTTATGGCCCTTGGATAGAACAACCTTTATACTCGTGAAAGAAGCAGAAGACGGAAAGTAAACTAGCTTGGACATCTAAGGGGAAGTTGTAGTCATGTTAGAAAAACTTCAGAGGGAGTGTATCTGGGAGTGTGAGAGCTCTTGTAATGAACAAGAAAGAAGTAAGGAAGCCTCAATGAAAAGGCTTGAGAACAAGGTCTGAGGTAAGCTATCAGAACATTTATTTTGAGGGCAGATAGTTCACTTAAATTAAAATCTGGCAACTCAGTAGCAGCCAATGGACAGAGATCCTCTTGCACTATCTGAGATAATAAAACCATCCAAATCTATAAAGGCTAGAATTGGTTTACTGAAGCCTCAGAAAGCTAGACACTAAGATTAAAGGGGTAAGCATATTTGTGGAAAAGGACACCAGATAAAATCTGAAGATTGATTATTTTATTTTGAATTTTAAGTAGCTTCAGAAGGAATAGGGTTTTGCAAATAGGTTACTATTCATCTTAGAAGAGGCGTTTTCCTGGAATTTTAGGAAATTCACAGATTTTCTTAAGCTGAAATGAATATGCCTCTACTATGCATGTTAATCAATAACAGTTAATTTGCTTATAAAATAGAACTCTCTAAATGCCATAATATCCGCTTTAGGAATTATTGGTGAAAGAGAATCATAGAATGGTTAGAGTTGGAAGGGACATTAAAGATCATTGAGTTCCAAACCCCCTGCCATGGGCAGGGACACCTTCCACTAGACCAGGTTGCTCAAAACTGCATCCAGCCTGGCCTTAAACACTTCCAGGGATGGGGCAGAAGATGCTTTTTTTTTTTTTTTTAAATCAGAAATGGACTACTAAATTGTTACTTATTCTTGAATAGAAGAATTCCCAAACCCACTTGTTCTACTGTAGAGGTAATTTTTAACCTTAGGCCTTCAAGCATCTGCTGTGCTTGTGCTGCTGTTTTCAAGTTTGTACTTGTATGCCATTGTAGATGTTAAAAGAACCGTTTGCAACTGCAGTGGTTT